ATTAAAAAATCTTAGTTCAGATTATAAACACAAAGTCCATAAGTCTGAACGCAACCGCTGATGTCAATAAATAGTGTTTGGTTTAAAAATTCTGAAACTGAGAATTCCAGGCCTCGAAGTGCATCAAATATCAATGAAAAACATCCCACTGTACGGGCAGCTGTGCATAGCGATGCTATTGGAGCACTTGCGCCGGTACGGCCTGGAATGATACTCAGTGGAGGTCGAGATAAGGTTTGCTTTGCATGTTTAGCTGGATAAATGCCTGATCTAGTCTCTACTGTCTACTAACAGCACGAAATAACTGAGGAGGAGCTGCTTGTGTATTTGTGAGTGAAAATAAGCTAGTGAGGAAGAAGTCCAGGTAATAACTGATAAAGATTGCGGTAAAAAGGAAAAGTTCACTCAATTTTATTCAATTGCCATGCAAGACACATATAAACTTGCATCCACACATGTCATGCGCTCATGCATTTTTGCACTGTTTCGCGCAACAGTGCGACTGTTAACAGCTGAAGTGTTCTCTGTTTCACAGTTTGATATGTCCAGACACGCTGAAAATCTTGTAAGTGTTCAAGAAAGACCGAGTGAGCCATCAAATGAGCTTTGACTCTTTGACAAACATTAGCAGTTTTCGTTATTTTTCACATATGAAATTTAAAATGTTGAAAAATTTGTTGTAGCTGATAGCGCTCAATAATACAGATACGGGTGAATGCGTTTTGCGATGGTATGGGCACGAAAAAGAAGTCACTAAGGTTACACCTCTGTTTTACTCGTTTATTCCGTTTAAAAAAAGCTGTTTGACCAAAAATAGCCTGAAGAAACAACTTCCGTTCTCATTATCGGTTTTTGGGTCAAAGCCACTAATGAGGAATCTTACTGCAAGTTGCCGAGTGGTTGAGATGAAAAACAGATTCTGGCACTTACTGCTTTAGTTGACATTCAGTCGCTTTAAGACAGAATGCAAACTTGCCTGATTCACTGGAATATGTATTTTACCAATAATTTTACCAGATATTTGCCTTTATTGCAGCATCTAGAAAGAAAAACACCAACTTTTCTTCCACTGACAACTACTACTGCGGACAAATGCAATCTTACACTACCAGCGAAAAAAAAAGCACTTAACTTAGAACTAGCGAAAAACCACTAACGAAAAATTTACAAATGGAGAAAATTTTTTGGGTTTTGATCGTTCGGTCAACAAAACTTTTGTGCTACAGATTTTCAAATTAACATTATTATTAGTGTAATCAAGTGTACATAACGGATGGCGAAGCTTTCAGCTCTAAAAATAGAAGAAATTTATTTGCCTGGAACAATAACCATTATTCTTTCTCCATGAAGATCAGGCTTTTACTGAGTGTTATTTTTTACCGTTCTAATTTATGACGTGCTTGAAAGAGAGCACAGTACTAATGCAGTGATGCGGGAAATTAAAATTTGATGAGTAGGACATGTTGCTCGTTCTACCCTCAATCGATGGACATTATACATTATTGAGTGGTATCCTCGAGAGAGTAAGCGATTAGTCGGGCAGCCGAAGAGCTGGCGCTTATACATCAAACAGGCGACGGATACAAGAATCAAGCTGGCCAGGTTGAACAGCCTGATAGAGCTGCGTTTGGTTTGTGGGAGCATCCCAGTAACATCACTAACACGAGATACACTGACAGCCCAGACTTTTTTGGCATTCTTAATATCCTTTTTGTAGAAAAAACAAAGCTGAATGAACAAAAATAAACAGCGAGAGTGTGTAAAGGATATAAATCAATTGCAGGTGACGTACCGGAATACCTCTGGGAAGCACTATATCCTCAGTGGATCGCGCGATTCCCAGTTGAGGTTATGGCAGTTCAGTTCGCCGAGTACTCTGCGCATTTATTCAGGACATCATATGAGCATTGCCGGACTTGCCATGCTTGATGGTCGGCTGTTGGATTCAGCCTCATCTAGACTTTTGACTCCTGAGTATATTTTCCGGCTCAGTAGCTGCAGAGGGTGAGAGAGGAAGAGGAACAGAGAGGTTCTTAAAATTTGGGCAGCATTAGGTACTCATTAGGTACAGTATTAGGTACTCTGGGCAGCATTAGGAACAGAGAGGTTCTCAAAGTTTGGGCAGCATTAGGAATTCATCAAAAATAAAGATAGGCTCTTTTTGGCTTTATATCTTGAGTTCCTTTTGCAGTTTTAAAAAAACAGACGCATTTTCGTCAAATTTTTTTTTGCCAAAATCTCACATTCTGAAAGAAAACTCGGTCAAAATATTGAAAAATAACTCCACTGATTATGAAATGGGGCTTTTTTTTCACAAAAAATCTGCTAGAGTTTTTTTACACTTAGCTGTTGTAGCGCACAAAATGTTATATATTCTTTTAGAAATGAGATGTGTATCGGGAGCTCGTGATGCTTCATTGCGACTTTGGGATATGGAAACCGGAAAGTGTTTGCGTGTTGCTCAACATCCCAGAAATATTGTAAAAAATTTTTTGTTGCCTTTACATTTCCTTATATCAAACCTTAAATGAATACATTTGAAATAAATAAGTTGAAAAAGTTTGAAAATTTGCTAATTAGTTTGTTACAGGTAACTCATATATCGCACTGTGCTCACGATCATCTGCTTCTGCAATCATCAGAAGACAAGCAGCTCAAGTAATCTGTTTCATCATTCTTCTGTGGCCTACTAGCCTTACAATGTTTTTTTCAAGAAGGCCCAAAATCTATATTATACGATATTTTTACAAGATCAAAACTTAAGATGAACGGCTGATAATTTCCAATATCCGAAACCTTGATTTACTATTTCATCATCGCGTTTCTTCTCGCCATCGGTGCAAACTGGGGCTTTTCCTAACTTAGAATTCGCTGCATTCGCATGACTGTAGTTTGAAAGGTTATTGGATCTCTTTTTCTCGCATTCCAGTGTCCGCTATAGCACCACTAAAGAACAAAGCTCAGTGTCCATCAGATGTTGGATAATTTTTTTGACACAGTTTTGTGGTTCTTAAGAAACAGTATGATAACAGTATTTATTAGTAGTTTCTTAATGAAGCCCTGTTTAGAATTTGGGACGATCGCGAATTGCATTTGGTGCATGAGTTCCCAAGAAAGAGTCACATATTAACGCACTGTGAGTTCTTGCCGGACCCCAATTACGCTGTTACTTCGAGCAATGGTTTTAATCGCGATGGATGTGAAATTACGGTAAGCATATCTTAAAAAAAATTTTGTAAAAAAGTTCCTTGGCACTGAAAAATAAGCTTAATGCTTACGCTGTGCTTAGTTATGGGATGTACGGCAGCAGAAGCTGATCCGCGAATATCGAGGGCACGAGGAGTCGGCAAATTGCGTTATGTTTATGCCTCAACAGGTCACCTGGAAACGTCTGCTGGTCAGTGTTTCGGCC